TTTCCACGCACGTCAATCCCAGCAGACATCACAGCTAGCGCCCCCGACACGAGCAAATGGGGCACCCCCCTCGCGAACTTCGCAGGAAACTCTTGCAACATAAATGCGCATTTCCAGAACATGAACATTGTTTTTGATACTACGTTTTGTGGCGCGTGGGCCGGACAGGTGTGGACTCAGGACTGCAAGGAGAAGGCTGATACTTGTGAGGCCTACGTCCAGGAGAACGCGAGCGTGTTTGTGGACGCTTACTGGCTTGTCAACTCCGTGAGGGTCTACCAGGAGGGCAATGGAGGGAGTAGAAAAAGGGGTTTGAAGCGGGAGGTAGGCGAGTAGGAGTGTGCTGAGGGGAAGGGGATGTAGATTGTATAGCTTACGTGTGTGACTCATGCTTATTGCTGGTTCAGTGGACATGTAGGGCACGCAAATTCATTTCGAACGGGTACCCTACAACATAGCAAATGTTTCTCATCCAAATTGAAGTCCCTCTTCCGTGCCTTCTTCGGGTTATTTTTCCTTTGAAAACGTGACGCTAACTTTTAGAGGCTGAAGTTAAGTTGGCCATATATTCCCAGTTTTGCGAGTCACCGCTCCCGGATTTCATCTTACAAAGGTTCAATCTACAGTTTCTTCTGCTAGATGCTAGACTGTTTACACATGACATCTGGCTAGACTGTTTACACATGACATCTGGCGACCATGATAGATGGGCCCCTGGTCACCTTGACCTTCCATGTTAAGGGAGCAGCTGCTTTCCCTACTGAAGCCAGTGCTTTACCGGCAGCTACAGATTCTCAATATGTGGTAGCCCGTATTCATCTTCGCTTTTTGAAACTCTTGGACTCTCACCCACCCACGTCTTGTTTTTTATTAACTTCTGTATCTGGGACTCCAGATCTTCTACCATATGTAGAGAGAGTGTCCTTGGGGCTGAAATGCACTGTGGACAGCCGTCTAGCCGCCTTTCGGCCTTAGGATACCGGCCAATCAACGATTGAAACTTGTGGGCATTGCTACAGAAGCGAGCAGCACTAGCTTTGACACTTTCCATATCTGCGACGTCGAAATTTAACACGTTCTATTTTTGCGACCTCGAACAGAAGACTGCGTCCGCTTTGAGTCGTCAAGTTTTATTATCTGAATCGGAAAAAAAGCTGTTCTCTGTTTCGTGTTCTACTTCAAGTTCTGGACTGGCAATTGGCTGTAGGCGTCGCAAGCCTCGTCGCTGATTGTATTCTTGGATGCCTCTAAACATGGAACTTATCTTTTTCGCCGAAGCTCCACCGTTCACCTGATCAACTTCGTCAGTTCCCTTCATTCTCTCCTCAGTGAGACCTCGAAAGAGCTCTGGATTCCAATTTTCGTATTCCCTATCTCAATAATGTTCAGAACCTGTTTGATTCTGGCTGTGCTGGTCATGGCGCCCTTGATTGAAGCACTAGATTTGTGTGTTGACGACGGCGAATGCCTCCGCTCTCCCGGGCAATCACCTAATGGCAATGGGCCGGTAGATACCTTATACAACCCGGCTCAACCGGTTGGCACGGTCACAGTGGGAACCAAGTATAACCAGAGCTTCGAGGCTGTCTTCGACACAGGTAAGCACCCGTCATTTTTGCCTGGCAGGCCAAGAAGTCCTTAGCGATGACAAATCCAGGCTCCTATCAAACTTGGTTCACAACGACCGGGATCACTGGCTATGCCGAAACAGGCACTCCTCTCCACCAAAACGGTAGTATCGTATACGGTGGCAATTTCACCGTAGAGGGACCGCTTTATTTGGACGACGTTGCTTTCGATGGCTTTACCGCAAAGAATATTCAGGTAATGGCAGCCCAAAGTACAGCTTTCAACGCAACATTGGGTATGGGATACTGGACAAAGTCAACCATAGGAGTCGCAGGATTCTTCGAGACCTTGATTGAACAGAAGTCCGTAACGAAGCCGGAATTTGGGCTCCATCTTGGCCGGACAAATACCCCGGAGAAAAGTTCCCTTACACTGGGTAGTCGTGACTCCACTAAACATACCGGAGAGTTTGTGTCGGTCCCGGTCATCCAGCAAGGCGGGTGGAGCATACAGATCGACGGGTACTCCGTGAATGGTAAAATGCTGAATTCGACTACCCCCGTTGGTCTGTTGTCCCCATCCCATTTCTCTCTGGCCCTCAGTTCTTCGATCATAGACCATGCAGCGCTAACACTGTACTCACAGGCACGATACCCAACCCTCCACTCGTCGACACAGGCACTCCCTACATCAACGCCCTCCACAACGCCGCCGTCGCCATTCACTCCGCGATTCCCGGCGCCGTGCCCGCCGACGATACGGGTAACGTCTGGAAATACCCCTGCAACACCTCGGAAATCTACATGCCCACTCTCATCCTCTCGGGCACCAGTCTTTCTATCGCACCCGAAGACTTCAACATGGGTTCCGCTGCCGGCGACGGGATGTGCGAGTCCGCTATCCGTAGCCCCTTGGCGTACGGATGGGTCCTGGGTTCCCCGTGGCTGATGAGCTTTTATACGGTTTTTCATTGGGGGTTGTCGGCGAAGGAGTGGGAGGTGGGCAATGGAACGTCTGTCAATTTCGCACCGGCAGTGCATCAGCCTGCGAGGAGTCAACACCACCGGTTGGGGGTTGAGAATGTTTCCGAGGCGAGCGAATAGATACTTGCGGCGTGGTAACCCAGGCTATGGTTTCCGGAGGTAGAACTGATTTGATGAGGTTGGCATGGTTAATCTGTAGAGCTGGTGTGTTGAAGCTGAATTGCAGATATTGACCAATCTCTTGGCGAAGAAGGGTGTGATATGAAATTAAAGAATGAACGAAAATCTAGTGTTGGTTGACAGTTCCGGAAAAGGGTTTAGAAAGGCGAAAGCGGGTGATCCATACGATGCACGTTTTCGACGTCTTTCAAATTCCAGACAGATGGACGTGAACGAACAGGTCAGTGTAGCTGTCAAGTCCCTGGTGTGGACTCGTGCAACACTTGAGCATACGAAATCCAATGACGCCTCAACCGTTGCAACTGCTACCAAATGCCTTTGGAAGACCACAAGGCGTAGAAGTGCAGGAGGTGTTAGTCGCCCAAGCTTCTACCCGAGTCACCCAAGAATGCCGCGTCCTTCATTACCAAGCAGAACCCCATCTTCCTTCACACTTTCCCCCATCTCCACCTCCCCCGCCGCCTTCCTCACAACCTCCACCACCCGTTCAGGCCGACTCACCATGGCTATATGTCCCGCATCGTAGCTCTCCGTCTCCGCCCCCGCCATAGCGGCGATCTGACACTGGATTTCGAGCGGGATGATCCGATCTTGCGTACAGCAGAGATAGACGCTGGGGATCTCCTCCCACGCGCAGTAGGTGATGTGAATACTCTCGACATACGTCGCGGGCTGCCAGGAGAGGTCTATGGCGCGCTCCTCCGCTTCGGCGATGGGGAGGTCGTTGAGCGAATTACTAATTCATACCCCAAAAGTATGGATCCTTACCGAATCATACCCCTAATTACTGAATCATACCCCGAGACCAAATTTCACCCAAATATGGGGTGTGATTCGGTAATTTGCCATTGCTTGAGGTAGGATTTGGTAAGTTTTCGAAGTGGCCTCAAACTACGAAGGAGATAATCCGCGATCTGGCCTACTCGATCATAGAAATAAGGGAGTTTCTCCGACCGCATTTGATGAGAATGGCAAGACTGAAAAGTGCCTTAACGGTGGATATCTCGAACCATCTGTATCTAAATCAACCAGCAGAGCGATGCTTAGCAATACAACAAATATAACATACTCAAAGCTCATTCCGGCAACCTCGGTATTCAAGCACCGATGTGCTTTCAGAGACTAGGCCCTACATAGTATATGAACGTTCGTGGTATTCCGCGTCCACAGGGTTCCGAAAATCCAGGTATTGAACCGAGAGTCAGCGTAAGTATCGATGCCGAGTTGCTGGAGGATCTTAATTGGCATGATGATGATGTTCGATAGTGATCATCTTCGTGGAGTGTGTCCATCGTACAGTGGCGTTAGTCTGGCAATGAAGTGGTGTTCGAGAGAGTGACTTCTACTCTGCACGCAGACCGTGAGAATGCGAACCCACATTGGTCCATCAAGGTCGTACTTGGCATGACCTGTCTTTAAGTCGTCCCAAAAAAATCACTTGACCCCCAGAGACAGACCTTCTGCCTACCTATTCAATTGGAGGAGTTTCAGCTCGAGCATTGCATGGACAGTGCTGGAGATGCGGATTACAAGCTTCCGCCTCAACTCATCAGATACCCCAACCTAGCAGCAATCAAGCACATCTTCCTAACGTAACTTCATGGTGTGCTTTGGTGGTACCAGAGATTCAGGGAAGATCCGTGCTTCCTAATATCCATGTGTCTGGATGAGGGGGACAGAACGCTCGGTCTAGCGTTCGAGGAAATCGCCGTCAGATTGGTATGCGGGTGGAAAACCCCGAGTTTTTATCGACTTTATCTGGCGAACGACTCAATCAAGCTACGGCACCAGACGGTAGCACCACCACGATTTACATTCTGGCCTTGGTGCAGCTTCGAGCAGTCCACATCTTGCAACAATGTGACAATCTTGTTTCCGCCCTTGGATTGGTGGATGGGAAAGCCGTCTCAAGGGATTTCGACGCGAATTAGAGTAGGTTGATATTAGTCTTGTCTTGGCGCATCTCCAAAGCTATGCGCCCTTATTTTTGGAAGTATGGCCTGAAAAGAGAAGGGCAGGTTCTGCGCTGTCGCGTACCAAAGACTTTCCTTGACCCTGTCGCACGGCCGTTGTGCACGTACAACGTAAGCGCTCTTGCGATTCCCACCAAGCTACTATCGCATGCTCATTTCGCCAATATGCAAGATCTGACCTCTCTTCGCAAAGTCATTTATGCATGAACTGTCAGGCTCCTTCCTGACTCCCGGTGGGATCATCCCAATGCAATCAACTTCGTTCGTCTCTTGTGGCGCTCAGAAGGAATAGAATATGCACTCTAGGGTTTGGCTTGCATATGCAGTCATATGTGGGCCTGCGCTTTCTGCAACTTTACCTGCAGCACCACAAAGTGAAAACACTCCGACCACCTCACCTTCGGTGCTGATCCTTCCCGGGAACGTCTCTGCTGATCTTACAAACGCCTCATATTCGAACGATGTCCCAGACGTGAACCTACTCTCTTTGGATAGCGCTTCCCAACAACCATCGAACTACTCCGCCTCTCTTTACGACCTACCCTTCCGGTACGATCTGCCTGCCGTTACCAGCGCTGCCCCTCAGTGCAACGGTACTCTGTACGGCACCAACTTAGACCGACACAGCTGTTTTGATGCTTGGCAGAATCTAGGCTCGATACCCGAACGCGTGAGCTGGGGCCCAAGGGGACCGGGCCACAATTTTCAATACAGGCTTCCTTATCGATGGAGTAGCGGTAAGTCTGGCACAATATATTAGTAGTAGGTTGTCGCGAGCATGATTAATTAACTTGCTGTAGATGATGGTCAATGCGTTATCGATATTACCAATTACCAGGCCCACAACTCCGACTTCGCGTCCCTTCTCGAGATCAGCCACGCCGCCGATCAGGTGCTGAAGAAGTGCATAGATCCTCTTGGTGGCCCAGCTGAGGGAGGTTTCGTTGCGAATGTAGGTATGTCAGGTGTCAAGAAGCCTTTCGTGCTCTGCGTGTGGACTCTCTGTTCAATAAGTTCTACGATGAAGTGAATGATAGAGAGGTCCGCTGACTCTACCAAACCAACAAACAGGTAAGAACGGACGCCTCATCGTAGTAATCCGCAAGTACACGCCCGATGTCGTATGCGGTCAAGGTTTCCAAGTGCCGGATTATCCACCGCCCTGTCTTGACACACTGAGTGCGTTGCCCGTGAGCACGCAGTCCGTGAGCTTTGGTCGTAAGGGGTTACCAGGTGTGCAGTGGCCACTACCGTGGACTTATTACGCGAGTACGTGCAATCGTTGCCCCGATTGGACGTTTTGGCCCTGAACTTCGAGGCAAGATTTGCTAAACGTGCATTGTAATCAACCTAGGCGGCTCCAGATGCGCGGTCACGTTGAACATCAAGAGTTCTACCCAAGAAGAGACAATTCGCTGGTTTGACATATGGGCTGGTGCGGTTGCTGCTGATACTAGTGAGTGTCATTCCTGTTTCATTTCAGCCAACATGGATCCCAGTCTCGATCCCGAAGTGGGCCACGGTGCATCTTTCTCGCTCAAGCATGGTCGATGGCTTGATCATCTTGAACTAGAAACGAGCGCTGACCTCGAGACCTCCAGTATGTATCAAACAAAGGAAGCTAGGCGCTTCCCGAAATCTGGGTGAGTTGATATACGGAGTTCTTCCATCTTGTTTTAGTAGAGTTTAAAGCGCTGATATCTAAGATACCGTGTTTAGGGAACCATAGGTATGCATGGATAGTCTTACGACATCAAGAGCAGCCACCTGCACCGATGCCGCTAGCAATGGCAGACGAGTGAAGTTTTGGATACTCGTACACCATGCTGGTGGAGGAGATGCGGGCTCACGGAAGGGTTCTGTGCGTTCGACTTTGCATGGCGGCTTGGCAGGTGGCTGGTTTTGGAGATATATACATGACTTTCAGTGCCAGTCGATAAAGGTAGCTGCGCTCTGATGGTGACATTGTCTTTGTGTCTTGGCATGTGCGTGGAGTATTGATACTTTTTGGCGGCTTGTAGGTAAAGGAGAGGATACGCGTACATATATAATCTGCATCTTGTTTCCGAAATTGGTTACCCAGTCTCTATCTAGAGCTGGAGACTGCTCGATGACCAGCAAACATTTGGCTTCGGTTTCAGTAGGTAGACGTGTTGCTATCGTTGCAGCTACTGACGGAGAACGACATTGGCATCAATAACAACTAAGTGGTCATTGGCTGACTTTATCTTCAACGACCGTACGAGCAGATCGGTATCCTGATCCGAAAAGAGCCTTGCCTGTTCCCGAGCATAGAACTGGCGGTGTCAATGTCATGATGGTTCGGGGAAGCACGCTTAATGACAACGAGGTTGGTCCAGCCTTTTATGAACTTTCTGCCGAAGGCGCTCGCGGAGGGTAAATACGTTTGTGCATCCGGGCCTTGGATTGTTGAGAGGAGTCTCGAGTTCATTAGAGCTCTGAAGACATTTGTTTTTAGCGGCGGTGGTCACTACAATTTGAAATTGGTATTTGAGTATTCACTAAACATTTCAAGCTTCCAGGGTGTCATTACTGCATTTCCCATGTACTACCCCTGGCTATATCCATCTCCCCGCGCGCATTCGAATCCAACTCTACAGATCGCGTGGCGTTCAATCCCGCAGCCGGGAGTCCTCCTGCATACGTATATTGCGTTCCGTGATCATTAGCTCCGGAGGATGAGTCCGTTTCCGGTTTTTCATTGTTGTTGGAGTTGCGTTTCATCCCGTGGACAAGGACTGAGAATGCCAAGACTGCAAGACTGATCCCGACAAGGGCGACGGCGATGCCAATCCCAGGTTTCGCGCCTGTGGAAAGGCTCCTAGAGGTAGGGTGAGGGCAGACTGAGCCTGAAAGGCAGACTAGGTCTAGATGAAATAGAGCTAATTAGTGCGGATAAGAAGGATGGGGAGGATGAGGATGTGGCATCAGCCAACAGCTGCTGCAGCAGTTGATAGGGGTTGCCTAGCCAACAACACTAGTGGGCCTTGGCCATGGTAGATATCAGGCTCTGCACCAGTTATACATAGTAGTCATCCTTCTACCTCAGGACGTACATCATTGGTTCCTCTTATTTCTGCAGCGACGGCGCCTCGAAGGTCTGGGAACCCGGGACCGAGCAGTCTAAGCTGCCGGGAGCCATAGCAGCAGGCTCAGAGTGCGGTGGTGCTATCGTAGAAGATGTCGGCTGTGGGATTGTCCGCTATCTATCACAAGTTGCCTGGATCAGTCAAGTTGTCAACTGATCAGCTCAATCCCTCACCAACCTCCCGCCAGGAACACTTGCTATCTAGGAGAAGCTAGCTGGGCCACTTACTACACTGCATAGAGCACACGGGGCCTGGGAAAGATTCTTGTGTGCAGCCGCCAACATAATAGCCGATAGCCTTGCTCAGGGGATGCGTGAAATGACAGATGGCGTTGCCAACGCACGTGTCACCACTAAGCAGCACTGCTGCGCTGTTATAGAGGGAGTAGCAGTGCTACCGCATGGCAGAAAACCGTCGTTCTCGAGATGGCGGACGTTCTTATTTATCGCGTAGCATGACATGATTCTCAAATTGTTGCTACGGCTTTGTACTCCCTCAAATCGTGCCTAGAGTAAACGGCAGAGAAGAAAGACAAGAGAAGAACCCGGGGTTGAAATGAGAATGTTCTATTATACCTTTTCACGGAGGGTCGGCTTCGCCTCTTTTCCTGCTTACGCTGCGCAACGGCACTGTGGAGCACGGAACCCGACGAGGACCCAACCGAACATTTAGGAAGACGCCTGCGATGTGCATTGCAGCAGATAACGTTTCAGTCTTCGGTGGTCAAACGCCAGTACTTTCGATGGATCCTTCGTGCCGCTGCAGCTGAACGATTAATCGGTTGTCCGTAGAGGTGGTGTGTAAGGATGATCCATTAGCTACCTTGGCATTGACATAGAACACCCACCCGATAGAGACGTTGTCTCATCAAAACATAATGTTCACACATCGTGCGATTGGTAGACTGCCCATTCGTCACAGGACTACCTTCGCTTTTCTTGTACACGAAGATCTAGCCATTGACCATCGTCATCCCCATCGGGTGGCACCTGTCACCAGCTATTCCAAAATTTCCTAGAATCGTGTCAATATCATTCATCTCCTCTCCAGTTAGCTCGGACTCGACGGCATTCTCCTTTACCCTCTCAGCAGTTCTAGCTCCCGGGATTTAAATGATTCTGGGCATCCTTTCATTGTTTGACAGGCTTCGAACCCAAGCTAACGTCAATTGAGCCGGAGTGCACTTTTTCATTCTGGGCGATCTTCTCGAGCTCCCTTACAAGCTTCATGTTGGTGCCGAAGTTTTGGGGCTGGAATCGCGGCAATATTTTTCGAACATCCCCTTGCGGGATGTCTTCGAGAGACTTGATCTGGCCGGTGAACATGCCTCGACCGATTGGTGAATAGCTGCAGGGGTTCTCAGCAATGGGCTCTAACAAGGCTTCAAGAGGTAGAGTGACTGACGCAATGATCGGAATATTCAATTCAAAACAAGCCTCTGCGATCCCATTGGTCAGAGGCTCCGTCGACCACAGCGACAACTCCACTTCCACAGCCACGATTCTCGTAATCTTGGCGGCCTCTCTAATCGTGTTCGCACTGACTTCACACAGAGCCACCCCTCCAATCTTGCCCTCATCCACCAGCTCTGCCAGCGCCCCCAAGGTCTCTTTCAGTGGCACCTTTGGATCTCTTCTTGCACACTCAAACAAGTCAATCCTGCCTCTTTCTCCCAGCGTCTGTAGACAATTCTCCACGCTCTCTCACACATAGTCGGGGCTGCCGTCAGGTTGCAAGCCAAGACGCGTAGCCCCCTTGATGTTGAGGACCACTCTGTCGGCATCTTCTGGGTACAGGGTGTAGTAGTTCTTGAGCAGGGTCAGGGAATTGTTGTCAGGTGTGCCGTAGATCTCGCCGCCGTTCCAGGGATTGCAGCCGGAGGTAAGGGGCAGCGTGCATCGCCGCAAAGGCTTGTTCTTCGGAGGGGATGGTGGGCCGCCATGTCATGCCTGCGAAGGAATTAGGAAAGGCCATTGAGGGAGCGGGTGTGACTTGCCCAAGAGGCCGTGGCCTGTGCCGCCAACGTTACGGCCAGCAATCTCAATGCTGTGAGAGGCTTCCTTTGGTGACGCCATTGGATTGGCTTCTGCGTCCGCCTCATTAGGTGCTCAAGTTATTGCAAATTGGCCGGACGAGTTGGCAAGTGAGCTGGGACCCCTGGTCGAACCCAACCAAGGTAATCGTATCCGCCGCCGCATGGCCATGGCCGTACTCATTGCAAGATCGGAGTTAGGAGGAGACTTGGAACGCGAGCAGGCGTAAAAGGTCTTAGGGCCGAGCTTTGCATCTTGAGGCTCTTTCCCGGGGCTCTTTAGGCTTAGGTAGGTGCGGGAGCGCCCGAGCTTCCGGGTACCATTTTAGACTCGGCTGAGGCGAGGGAGCCTCTCCAACCGGCTTGCACCAGTGTTGCTCGTAAAGTATCGTACTCTACCATCTCGTTCCTAACGTCTTTCTCATCGTTATTTTGTATGTCACTAGAATAGTTGCGTTGCCAGTTTCTGAGCTGTTGTTTAGATCAGCATTGTTGTATCCTTAGGCGTTTACCACCATTTGTTTTTCTTCTCTACTTTCTGTTGTCGATATTTTTTGACAGATTTGATATCTCATAAGAGCCTCGAAAGCTGTCTTTCGTCTGCCGCACTATTCATAAGTCGAAAGATAAATGTCTCCTGCTCCTATCTCTTGAACTCACCCCCCCCTCGGTGACTAGGAAGCCATGCACATCCGCCCGGCAACTCCCTCCGACTTTCCCTCAGCCGCCTCAATATCTGTCCTCTGCTTCTGGAATGACGAACTCTACGACTACACCAACCCTTGGCGAGAGCAGCATCCGGACCATTTCCGTTCCCTCTTCCTGCGAAGGCATAAAATCCGGTTCGTAACTCCTGGTTACGTCTTCCACGTTGCTGTCACAGACGAAGGAGACCAAAACCATAAGGGAGAGGGAAAGGTGGTGGCATTTGCGGTTTGGGAGAGGACGGGAACAAGCAAGGTGGCGATGGTGTGGAGGAAAGATACCTTTTGGAAGCGTATGACTCATGTCATTGACGACAACGGGGAGCGTCCTTGTCTGACGATTGTACCAGTACTAGAACGCACCCTTCTCACCGCCCAGGAATACTATCTCTCCCTCCTCCGCGCCGACAAATCCCTCCACTACGCCCGCCTCGCCCACTTCCTCGCAGAGGCCAAATCAGATTTCGCATCCATCCCCGAAATGTGGAAGATGCAAAACCTTGCCGTGCACCCCAATTTCCAACGTAGAGGTATAGCATCCATGTTGCTGAACTGGGGGAAACAGCAAGCGGGGAAGGAAGGCGTTCCCATTGGGTTGGAGGCGAGTGAGCTCGCCAGGCCGCTTTATCTGAAGAATGGGTTTAGGAAGTTTGGGAATATGCATATTGAAGATTTCCCAATTGAGGATGTGCCGATCTTTTTGTGGGAGCCGAGGGGCTTGGAGGGGATGTGGGGAATGAAGGGTGATGTTGGCGAGTAGGTCGAGCGGTGGAAGGTTGGTAAAGTAAATTAGAAGGACATCAAACGTGATTCGGCATATGCTAAGCAGCTGAAGTAAGGTAGGAAATAACTCCGCGACGGCAAAACCCCGTCCAAGCCTCCCATGTACTCCGGCTGATATCTTGTATCTATTGAGAAAGGAGCGGACCGAGGCTGGGGACTAATATCCGTGATTCAGCGTAAAATGTGTAAAATATAGTAGGGCTCTTGATCCTTCCGAAATGAGTGGGTACCTACGGAAAAGACTCTCATGCACACCTTCCACTTTCCATGTGACTAAAAGCGCGCAGTGATCTTTGATGCCTGGAGGCGATGTGCTCTGAAAGAGACCAAATCGAACGAAGAGGAAAGAGAATCCTGAGAGTCTGCGGGGGTTTATCTATGGCCCATGGCCATTCGAAATATCATGACGAGATCCATGACGAGTCGTATGTCGGCTGTGTATAGAGCTACGCATCTTAAGTAATACACTACAGACTGTCAACTATCGGTTTGGTGAGACCGCCTTGGTAGGACGCTCTTGGTGAGGACCGCCCTGGTGGGAGTTGTAAGGGCCACCTTGGTGAGCTCCGTCTTAGTGTGACCGCTTTGGTAGGGCCGCTTTGATGAGACCACTTCGCTATAAGCTTGGCACTCCGATTTGGTAAGGCCGCTTTGGTGGACCGATCTGACGGGGCCGCTTTGATCAGGGGCTTGTGATCCTACGAAACCTGCGAGCCCAGTTTAAAATCAGGTGGATATAGGAGAGAGGTCTCGAGGTAATCTTCAAAGGTGCATTCTGAGGCATTTAGACGTTCGGAGTGAAGGTAGCAACTATATTGTGCACTGAAGTCTCCAAGGGTGGATTCCTTGCGTCATCTTCAGCATCTGGCATTGGTTCAATTCAACTCAAATCGCGTAGTAGCTAAAGGAAAATTCTATATCGGTTTGCGGAAACGGGACCTTTGACTAAATGTTGCACACAAAGGGTAACACAAGAGAAGAGAGCATAGACGCAGTGACGACTAAGCAGATTCGAAAAACGTAAGAAGTAGAACACTGCTTCTCAGGGACACTTCGAGTTGATCCAATTCTGAATATCCGTTGATGTCGCATCCATGAATTTATTGCCCCATTTGTCAGTCGCGGTCACTAGGAAGTAGTCAGCCTCGGGTTCAGCGGTTGCCAAGTGACAGCTCCGCTTCGAGACAGGAATAAGAGCGAGCGAAACATACAGCAATCACACGGCGGCGTTGTAAGACCCATATTATCCGACTGTTTCCAATCGTAAGACTGAAGCTGACATACAGGTACCGTGAACATGCCCTGACCGAAGCTCAATTAGCGATTGCTTGCAAAAAACTCTACATAGGTTTATTCGAGGGTGCGGGGCAGAGTACCTGTTGCTGAAAGACGGCCCCTGGGTCGCTTTGATAACTTTTGATAAAGTCGACAAAGTCGTACATATTTGCACTAGCACCGAGGCCATGATTCTGGTAGATTGACGCACTGCTCTGGATGAGGTCATGGATATCTGTGCAGTGTCTGTTAGCGAAGATCACTTGCTACGCTGCAGAGGATGCACCAATGTTGTAGCCGGCCCATGATGCCACAGTAGCAGGGTCCATTCCAGTTGCTATCCCGACGCCACTGGTAGCGTCGTATCTGTTCAAAAGATACATGCTATCCGCAATTTAGTGATGGAGAAATCCGGCCACTTACAGAAACTTACCCTTCGGGCGCACACAGTCTCCTCTCCCCATTGTCACCTGCGTTCGTCTTCCACTTCGAGCAAACGTTCGTCACGTTGGGAATGAAGATGATGAATGCTCCTTGCGCGATCCAGGTTGCCTCAAGAAGCTTGCTGGCCATCAGGCTTTCGATGAGAGTCTGCACGTTTCCTTCGCCGCTTTCGTAGGCCGAGACGAGAGAAGAGCCAGCGAAGTCACCGCCGGACATATAGTCGATTATCTGGACGAGTTAGCCTATGTTCAGAAAGGTTGAGTTTGGGGGTGGTAGCGAGCAGAAAGGCCTACCCGAGCGCCAGCGTGCCCGTTGTATTGTCCATTGGAAAATGTAGCGCTGTGGGCATTATCAATCTGGGAGAGCAGAGCCGTCTTGTAGTTGTTCCATTGGTCAGAGACCTGGGTGATATCTGAAGCATTGATAGTACCGTCGGTAATTGCCTCGTTGTTGACAAGGGTCACAGAATTGCTAGCTGCTGCCGCATAAGCTGCTGCGGCCACAGCACTGCAGACATCAGTGATGCCGTATTGCACAGAGATGATTTGGGGTAGGCATTACCTCAGGTTGCTATCGGCAATGGCAGAGATAGATGAAAGACCGACCCCAATCACGGATGCAGTGACCGAGAGAGCTGTCCTTACCCATGATAAACTCTTTGGTGGATCTGGAGGATTGAATTTCTAGCCAAACACTTAGTAGTCAAATTCATGGCCCGAGAGCCTCGCCTCAGGTTCTTTACTCACAGTCTGAAAATCAAAAAGGGCTCCAGTGATGCCATCTGCAGCGTTCGAAACAACCTTCTCGATCTGCAAGAAGAAAGCTTGGACGTTGAGAATAGATTTAATACCAAGCCATCCTTGCTCCTTGGCGTAGCTCGAACCAGACAAAGCGTTACATGCTGAGGGGTCACCGACGCAGTTATTGAAGCTGTCTGGACAGCTTAAATCATCCGTGTAGTTGGATGCGAAGGCCTGATGGAAGTCGAAGTTGCTGTTGCTGATACCCGAGTCCCAGAACTGTTGAACGAGGGCATCCATATTATGACTGTTCCATGTGTTGACATCAAGCGTAATAGGGCCATTACCACAATCGTCTTGAGGTCCACCGCCATTGTCTGGCTGGATACTGAATTGTTCGGGATCGAAGTTTGTAGGAAGGTTGGCAGCTGGTGCCGCAGCTGCAAAGTATGCTGACTGCGCGAATGCAATAATCAAGATCTTTGAAAGCATAGTGAAGTTGAACAGTTAACGATTGGTGGATGGATATAGGATGGTGGCAAAAGTCAAATGGGAAAGTTGACGACAAAAGGATGGGAAGGTTGGGTGAATGGAGGCTGGACAAGCCAATGGCTCTCGTTGCTTTATACATATTCCTGGGGCAGTAGTAGAAAGCCTTGGGTGACAAGGACTTGCCCCTGAATGGCGTGTAAGATGAACGACGGATAAGACAGCTGCTTTGGTGATCAGAAATCGGTCAGCTTTTGCGCGCACTCAACAAAGTGTCGGTGCGGGCGTAAGTGAAAGAGAGAAGGGCTGGACGGGCGAAGTCGATGCATCATGCCCGTCGCGCTTTCGGTGACAGCGTTAGCTGTGCCAGACTCCAAAAAAAAGATAAGGCACAGCCGTGCAGAATGGGGCGCAGATAATACTTTGATGTTCGGGGCTGTCAGGGGCACACTTTTGACCCATCATCCAATCTTGGAGCATACGCCATGCCTTTGAGCCAGGGCAGTTTTCTGGTCAGCGAGACTAAGGCCAGATAGAAGTGATTTATTCGTATGACATACTCGTACATGTAAGCTGACAGCAAAACAGATTGAGAAAGAAGCGGCAACAGAGTACAGGGGGCTAATTACTAATTCATACCCCGGAACTATGAATCCTTACCGAATCATACCCCTAAATATGTGCTGGGGCGCGGGCTTCCCAGTGTGTGTGTGTGTGTATATAATTCCTACGTCGGAGGGGCGCCCCTCTAGCCATATAGGCTAGAGTGAGACCGTTTTTCCCCACTCGGCCTTTCGACTATATTCGGTTTTTATATATAGTGTACTATCTAGAGTAATCTATACGCCTAAAAAAAAGAAAAGAAACTATATTAATTAAATTATCTTCGGGCTATATCTCCTTTATTCTATCTTATCTTACTTTTATTAAAGTCTCTTATATTATTTATTTTATTACTTTTTATTAAATATTAATTAATTAATTAGCTTTTATAAAGTTACTCGAGAGATAATATTTTAAATATTTTCCTCGAAGTAGATATCTCTATACTTTATAATTATTATAATAAAAAATAATAATATATATAGAATATATTCTTTTTTAAAGAATTATTATTATATTATAATTATACTCTAACTACTATAATCGCTAAATTAATTATTTATATCTTTTATATTCTTAAATTTTATATTTAAATAAAGTTATTATATTATTTCTCTATTTATAATATTTAATTTAATATTTAAATAATTTCTATCTCGTAAATAGACTTTTAAAGATTCGTTTTAAAAATATCTTCTATATTAATTTCTCTAAATATATTATTATCGTATTATATAATAAGTATTAGATATATTCTCTTTTATATATTAATAATTATTATTTATAATATCGCCTTAAAATAATAGATTATATATTTACTCGAGGATAGATTAGCTAGCTTCGCTAGAGAGTCTTTTATAAAAAAATTTATTTTTATAAAGATTTTCTTATTTATTATAAGAATATATTATTTTTTAAAATTCTCGTCTTATATAAAGACTATAGCTTTAAAGCGAAGATATTTAGATTTAATTATTTATTACGAATTATTTAACTTCTCTAATAGAGTAATATAATTACTATTATACTCTCTTAAAAGAGTATTTTATAAATCTTTAATAGTATTATAATTAATTTTAATCTTATTTTCTTAACTATATTTAGAGTTATAAATAATTATCTTTAAATATAATAATATTAATATATTCTATACTATATATAAAATATAATATTTTTATATCTTTTTAAATATTTTAATTATAACAATTATTATTAGAAATAAAAAGATATTATAGAATATTATAGATAAGATTAAGAATAATAAGATCTAACTTAATCGATTAGAGATTATATCTAAAATTTATTAATATAAATAAAGATTTAAAAGTTAAAAGTTAAATATAATTTATATTAAAAAGAAGATAAAAATTTTAAGGCTATATATAATCTCTAATTATAAAATATAATTATTAGCTATTTTATTAATAGAATAATTATTTTCTTAGTAATTATCTATAGTAAGAGTATTTTATATATATAATTTTATCTATTAATTCTATAGATAGATATATTATAAACTATCTATTTAAAAAAGTAAGATTAAGAGAATAAAGTTATATTACTATAGATAGATATTAAATTTATTATACTCTTATATATTAATCTAAAACTTAATTAATCTTCTCGAATTTAGAAGCTCTCTCTTTTATTATTATTCTTACTAAAGAGAAATATCTCGAGAAATTAATAACGCTATATATTATAGAAGTTTTTATAATCTATACTCGAATTTATATAATATATATCTTATTTTATAAGATTAAGATCGAGATATTAATTCTATCTTACTATTCGAGATTATAATAAAATCGCGAGATATCTACTTTTCTTTCTAAGATTTTTATAAATCTTATTTTTTACATCGTCTATTACTTCTAGTATTATACTTATTTTATTAAATTTATATATTTATTATCTTATAGATTATAGAATTATTATATTTAATTATAAAGTTAAAAAGACTCTTCGCTATAGTGCGTATTAAGTCTTTAAATATAAGAAAATTAATTAATATAATTAATATATTTTTAGCTTATTAAGAGATATAATAAATTATCTTTAAGTAAATTATAAAAAATACTATATTTAATCTTTAATAGTAGAGATAATAACTTTTAATAATAATATTCTATTATTATTAGAGAGCGATAATAGATAATAATATTTCTTATAAAGACTAATATTTATAAGATTTCTAAATTTCTTAGAGCGAGTATTTTTAATTAATATTATATCGAAAAATAGAAGATAAATATAAAAAGAAAAGAAAATAATATTAATAATATTAATAAAATAGTTTATAAATAAAGCGACTAAATATTATTTATTTAAGAGTATTAAAATATATAGATTAAACTCTAATCTATAACTTCTTAGAGATATACTATTATCTTTATATTCTTTAATATATAAACTATAAATTATCTTAATATAGAAAATCTTAATATAATATTATATATTTATATTAGATCTTAATCTTACTAAAAACTTTTAGTATGTATATTCTTATTATAAATTTTACTATCTTTATTACTAAATTCGATTTAAATAGAATCTTTTTAATATTAATTAATTAATTACTCTAAATAATTAATCTATCTTTCTTAAATAAAAAATATATTTTAAAAATATAATCTTAAGTCTAATTACTCTTCTTATAGACGTATTTAAGTATATTAACTACTTAATATATATAAAGAAGATTCTTAAGAGCTATCTTTATTTATAGCTATATTATTATTAAACTTATAACTTTTTTTATTCTCTATATAAAAGTTTATAATACTATAATATAATTTAAAAATATATTTTCTAAACTTAATATCTTTTATATATATCTTCTAGAATATCTCTTAATTTATATTAATTAGTTTTCTAATATATTATTTAATTATCGAGAGTAGATAGTATTAATTTTTATTAATATCTTATTATAATACTCGTTTCATAAGTTTATCTACTATCTTATTATTTAAAATATTTTTATAAATAACGATCTAGCGTAAAGTAATTAATATATTTTTCTCTTTTAGCTTAGCTAGCTTTTCTATAATTCTTTTAAAAATATATTATTCTAATTATCTTTATAAATTTATTATTAATTATATTATTATCTAATTATTAATCTAGATAATAAGCGCTAAAGATATAATACTTATAGCGATCTTATAGACTATATTAATTTCTTTAAATTTCTCGAAGTAAATAATATAATATTCGCTATTATTATCGAGATATCGCGTTTAAGTCTTATCTATTTAAAAAGCGTAGATTAATATATCTATTTTATTATTAATATCGCTATTATTAATATATATATATAAAGAACTATAATTTATATTTATAATCTTATTATATTCTTTAATAATCTCTTCTCTATTTTTATATATCTTAATATTTAATAGTTTTTACTATAAGAACGTAATATAAAAAATACATCTCTTTATATTATCTTATATTTATTATTTATAAACTCTAAATTCTAATTATTCTAGAGAGTTTTTAAGCTTTACTTATTTATTAATTAATTAATTTTTATAATTTATTTATAATTTAAATCGATTTAATAATATCGTAATTAAAATAAATCTAGATTCTAAGAATAATCTCTATAATAGCTTTTTCTAAAGTTAAGTATATTAAGAGCTAGTAATATTCGATATTTAAAGTATTATCTACGATATTTTTAAATCCTTTTAAAATAATATATATTACTCTCTTTTATATAACTCTTAATATTTTAAAGATTCTTTTCTCTCTAACTTTATATTTTATAGCTAATAATATATATTATATAATATATTTAAATAATAGTATAAATAGAATTATTTCTTAATAAAGCTTTCTTAAATCTTTATATAGAATTTTCTAAATTAATTTTACGTAGTTTATTAATTCGTTTAATTTTATAATAGCTTTTACTTTTAATAACTCGATATAGTTCTTTTAAATTAATTTAAGATCGAGTATAAAACTTAAAAGCTTTATTATTATATTAGATTTAATCTTATAAATATCTAAATCTAATTTTATATTTAAATTATTATTTAACTATTTCTTTATTATTTTTATTATAATTAATTTAAAGTAAATAAATTTATACTTATCTATTTTAAATTTCGAGATATATATTAATACTTATTATTAAATATCTATATAAATCTTCTTTAATATTTTATAGTTAGCTTAAGCTATAGAGCTTCTTATAAATATATTAATATCGTTAATATATATCGATATTAGATGATTTTTCTCTTTATATATATTAATAATATTAGTATTATAGAATAAATAGAGAATAGAGAAGATAGAAAACTCTTAGAGAATTTCTATTTTTACTTTATATTTAAAGAACTCGCTTTTAAGCATAGTAATAACTATAGATTTATTATTTAGAAAGC